AGTACGATGGGGTCCCCAGGTAGTAGGGGTTCTACTTTCTAGATCCTCCCGGGATCTGGGTAGAGGTTTAGGGCTCAGGGTTTAGACTGGCTGTAGGGTTTAGGTTTTTTAGGATTTAGGGCCTCGGGGTTTAATGTGAGGCTTGAAGGGGGCTTTAAACGGACTTTAAACTTTAAACTTCAGACTCTAAACTTTATTGACTCCCCCTTCCTCCCCCGTTCAACATGTCCAGCCCGCTCTTCAGATCCTTACCAACATGGGATTTTCCGAAAACTAGTGGTAGCTTTTTGGGGGTCCTTAAAATAGGGATCCTACCATCTAGGGTACTCAAGGCCCCCCTAATTTTCGGAAACTCCCTAAACCCTAATCCCTAAACCGCTTATAGAAGTATAGAACCCTTCTGGATCCCTGTAAGGAATTTTAGGGTCCCCTATTTTCATGCCTTCTCCCGGCAATTTCCAGTAGACGCCCGCCGGGCCCCCACCGCAACGGCGGCTGGGGCCCAATAGCGGCGCATGGCACCCGGGGCTGAGGGCTTTGGGTGTCTTTAACCCTTAGGCTCTAAGGACTCATTAAAAGGGATCCAAAGAGGTTCTATAAGGGTTCCTTTCGAGGGGATCTAAAACCCTTATAGGCTCTAAGGACTCCTTTATTCAGACCTTTGGGCCCAAAGACCGTACTATGTAAGGCTTTCGGGCCATTTTGAGCCTTAGGGTAACATTCCTTTACGGGTTCCTCTCAGGGCCTTTGGGTTGAGGGCTTTCGGTCTTTAGGGTTAAGGGGTCTAGGGTTTAGAGTTTAGGGGTTTAGGGTTTAGGGTTTAGGGGTTTAGGGTTTAGGGGTTTAGGGTTTAGAGTTTAGGGGTTTAGGGGTTTAGGGTTTAGGGGTTTAGGGGTTTAGGGGTTTAGGGTTTAGGGGTGGGCCGAAGAGCAACGAAGACCGACAACTACACGAAGACTGCCCCGACAAGAGCGAGTATTGAGCTAATATCAATGATGTGCTTCATCGTATTGTACGGCATGTGGTACTATGTCAATTAACCCCACACGCACACGCGCCATGTAGTGCTATTTAAGGCTTGTCCATGGATGGTATTATATACAATATCACCACAAGGATAGATAGCATTATATACATATATATATATGACTATTATTACAATTATACTGTATCTATTGTGCCCGAACCGGGCTCCAAACGAACCTTGCTTCTCTGCTTGGGCCGAAGCTGCAAGGTTCAGACCGAAGCTGCAAGGTTCAGAGACGAACTAAACCCTCAACCTTTCTTGCACTAAGGGCCTTCAGGGTCTAGGGTCTAGGGTATGGAGTGTAGGGTTTAGGGTTTAGGGCTTAGCAATCCTTGAACCCGACACCGTAGGCACGGTAACTTGGAAGGGAAGGCAGGAGGGAGGGGGGGAGGGGTGGACGTATCTGCGCTTGTGCGTCTATTTGTCTCTGTGTGTGTGTGTGGATGTATGCATGTATGTAACTTCAGTCCGAACAGCGAAAAGTGGATGTAGCCGGGAATGTAGCTCTAAACCCGAAGCGACAACACAGCCTCAACCCTACACCTGCAGCCCAGTTAAAGACACAGCACAGCGACGTGAACCCTAAACCCCCAAGAACCTGAAACACCGACATCCGAAAAAAACTTGAACTCCGGAAAACCTGTGACCCCAAACTCAAAAGCCCGCAAAGGCGGACCCTCGAGAAGCCCAATGCTTCGGAGCATTGAAGGGTGCCGGGCGCTCTCCGACATCTCCATGGCCAGGTGCTTCTGATCGTCCAGGGAAGCCTGTTCAGGGCTCCTTTCAGGCATGTTGAAGGTTTCTGTAAATAAAGGTATACGGTTTGGGATTTAAGGTTTCAGGGCTTTGGCGTGCTAGGGTGCTAGGGCATTAGGTTCTGGGAGCAAGGATATTCTGCAATCTGCAACTATTAAGGTCTTGACAAGGGTGTCACGGGTTTCAGAAGGTGTTCACAAGATTCTCGAAATGGCTCAACAAGGGTCTCGGGCGTTATGAACTAGCCAGGGCTCAGAGTTTATGATCTCTGGGCGAGGATCGGGGGGTTAGGTTTTACAAAATCCTGCGAGGGCTTCCGTGGGTGTGAAGATGGCATGACAACACATTTCCACGACAAAGCCCTCCATCCAGCAGCCCCCCAAACCTTCAAGCCTAAACCCTGAAAACAAAATCCTAAACCGACATCAGCGCAAAAAGTCCGAAAACCACAGTGACAGAAGCCTCAGCGCGCGGAACTAATCTCCATGCACCTGTAAGGCCTAAACACCTACAAACCCCACCCAGGCCGCGAAACCCAGTCTCGCGCAAGCTGAAACCCAGACCCCCGGGAGTATCTAAAACGTAGATCCCCTAATTTGGGACCCTAGCTACTAAAGGGTACTTTATAGGAATCCCTTTAAAGGATCTGCTTTTTGGATCCTCCCTGGGGTCTGGGAACATGCCATGAAAGCCCGAGTTTCAAAAGCCGCTGTTGAGCTCTGAGACAAACGCAAGAAACCTACAGAAAACTCGTCGTTCGCCATTAGGGGTCCTACTTTAATTTAAGGAATATTCCGTATTTAAGGGATTTTGATGTCTCTGGGAACTCGTGATTAGTCCATGGAAGAGGGTTGCTTTGAAGGGATGGATCTTCAAGTGTTCTAGGGGGTGTCCTTCAACAGGGATCCATTTGGTTTCCATAGGGTTTCCTTTAACGGGGAACCCGGAAAGGTGGTCCCTGAGAGTGATAAGGTGTAAGTAACCCAGGTAAAGACCTTGTTCAACAACCCTAAACCCCATACTTAACCGCCCCCAATCAGCACGAACGTTTTAGAGCCCATATAGCACATGCACAAAACACTGGCCGTCCGATAATAACCATCCGATAAGAAAAAACCCTATGACAGCCTCAGAAAAGGGAAGCCCTAACACTGGCCGTCCGATAATAACCATCCGATAAGAAAAAAACCTATGACAGCCTCAGAAAAGGGAAGCCCTTTCAAAGGGGAACCCGAAAAGGAAGGTCCTATTGACGAAAACTGTAAACCTCAAAAACAAACCTTATGACAAACAACACAGTGCATGTCCTGTATATCGAACCCCGTTAGGGAAGCCCTTTTAAATGGGAACCCAACTAGGAAAGGTCCTGGAAAACCCTTGAAAAAGCCTTACGAAGCCCCGCGAAAAGCCTCGAATAAACCTCAAAACCCTAAGGGCAGAAGCCCCTCTAACTTACCTTTGGTTAGTTGGGAATGGAAGAATGGTAATAATAGTAGTTGTAATTGTACCCCATTCCTCCATTCCCTACTAACCAAAGGTAAGTTAATCGAAACCCCGAACCGAAACTCTGAAACCCGAGAGTACCCTAAAAAGGAGCCCTAAACCCTAAACCCTAAACCCTAAACCCTGAACCCTAAACCCTGAACCCTAAACCCTAAACCCCAAAAGGACCCCTTAAAGGGAAGGCCCCTCAGCCTTGAGCTCCATGACATTGTCGGCCCACGCCTTAGAAGGGTTTAGGGTTTAGGGTTTAGGGTTTAGGGTTTAGGGTTTAGGGATTCATAGTATATGGGTATAGGGCCCCTACTTTTAGAATCCCCTTCTTTCAGGGCTCCAAGTGAAAGAAACGCGAAGAAAGCTCGGGGGTTAACAGGGTTTAGGGCTGAGGGCTTTAGGGTTGAGCGCGTTTTAGGGGTTGAGGGCTCCTTTTGAGGGAGGGTTCAGGGTTTAGAGCTTCTTTCAAAGGAGGGTTTAGGTAGGGTTTGGGGCTCCGTTTTAGGGAGAGTTCAGGCCTTGGGATTCCTTTGACGGTTTTTTCATGGGGTGCCGAAGAACCTTATCGGCTGCTGAAAGTGCTTTTTGCTTGATGGTATAAAGGGCTCAAGGGCTCAGGGCCCTAAACCCTACAGCCTATGCACACCCTGCACAGTGGTATAACGGGCTTAGGGCCGTAAACCCCACCCTACACCGTGGTTCTAGAGGGTTTGCCGTTAATTCCTCCTATAAAGGACTCGGCAGGCTTAGGGTCTAGAGCTCCAAGGATCCTTTCACGGCCCGTTAAGGGATCTAGAAGGAATCCTTTGAATCTTCTACGATGTAAAAGAAAAGGTTGGGCTTCGATAATCTAATAGTGCATCTGTTTACGAGGGCTTGAGTGTTTAAGTTATCATGGGTGCTTCAGGGCTTGAGCATGCAGGATTTGAGGTTTAGGGTTTAGGGTTTAGGATTTGAGGCTGTGGGTAAGGCTGTGGTAAAAAGAAACTTGCAGTGGAACATGTGCTCTCGGCATCACTATGAGGGGAGTACATAGGAGCTACAATCCAGCGGAGAGGTAGTAGGGCCTTGGGTGAGGGTTTTAGCATGTGGGAAGCAGGGTGGAGGACGCACAGCTTTTTCTGTCGACATCACATTCAAGGATGGATTGCCGGAGTGCCTGCCTCCCGGTGTTTAGGTGCCTCAGGGTTTATGTTTCGGGGATGCGGCGGGCTTCGGGCTAAAGCTTCCGGGATCACTTCCTTGGAGGGAGACCTCGCAGCATCCGCTGTCCCGGCCATCGCCAAACTGGGCAATGGGTGGGCAAAATTTTGAAGGTGCAGCAAGGATTGGTTGGGTACTGCCCCCATACGGTAAGAGTCTACAATAGGGCTACTATTGAAGTCCTAATATATGAATATTATGAATATTATGAATATGATTCAATATTATGAATATTATTCAACTATTACTGAGTGGGGGCCGCACCCAAGATCCACAACGGAACCCGAGACGGTACGGCCGTCAAGAAGATGAAACTTGAGGCTTAAGTGGCATGCTACTGTAAAGATAAAACTGTTGTAGTAACCCCTACAGAACCCCTAAATTCGAGGCCTCAAAAGGTGGGATGAAGGCAGGCAGGATTAAATACAAAGTCTAATTTGGGATTTTCCACCTACTTTCATCATCTTTCATCCCACCCTCGGAGCCCTTTGATTAAAGGAACCCCAAACCTGGGGTTCCTTCAAAACGAACCTAGGGCTCCTTTAAATGGAACTTTCAGGAGACCAGCTCGCTGGCTGAGCAAGACCTGCGAGATCACAGCGTCTTGCTCAGAGCAGGAAACGGCCGAATTGAAGCTTTGTCTGTCTGGCGCAACTTCAGCCGATGGCATGTCCTGGTAGGGTTAGTGTACTTGGGGGTTTAGAGCTTATGGTCATGTTAAGACTACGGATTTTGAGGGAATTGGGTCTGACAGGTGGCTCTTGTCACTCGGGGCGTGGTCTTTGGACTTACCCGGAGGAACTGGACTTTGAGTCGGGTTGAAAAGCCCGCCCTGAACTCTGACCCTACAGCTACCCTAAACCCCAAAAAGGGATCCTTTAAGGGATCTATAGTAGGGTTCTATATCCGGGGCCTCCCTAGGTTTACAGCTTCCGGTTACCTGCCTACAGATGAACCCCCGTCTACCTCATCCTACGCAGCTTCAGGGCCAGGGAACTGCGGGTTTGTTTAGCGGGTTCCTTTAAGGGGTCTACAAGGCTCCTTTGAAAGGATGAAGGGTTTGGGGTTCGGTTTCGGTGAGGGTTTGGGCATTTAGGGTTAGGGCTCGGAGGATTTAGGACTTAGGCTTCGAGGCCTGGGTCTGGGATGATTTTCGCGTGGGATTTCGGGAGGGGCTGAGAGTTCAGAAGTTGAGAAACTGTGGTGTTCAGGGTTTATGCTTTAGAGTCTTTAGAGTTTTAGGATATAGGGTTTGGGGTTTAGAGTTTTAGGATTTAGGGTTTGAAGTTTTAGGATTGAAGGTTTAGGCTTTAGAGGTTTAGGGCTTAGGGGTGTTCAAGATAAGTCTCATGGAGCAGCCGCAGGGCGACCGGCCACTGGGCACATCTCTCGCAGGCCTTGCCAAGGCATGCGCGGTGCTTTAGGGCTTGGCGTGAAGAGTGTAGGGTTTGGGATTTAGGGGCCCCAAAGACCGACCTTTCTAAGGAACTCTCTGTAGAAGCCATAAAAAGAACCCTAGTAAAGGTAGTTCTTTTCGGCTACAGGCAGGGATTGTGTCTTGGTACGGCCTAGGATACCCAGTAACCTAAGAATAAAAAGGCCTCTCTTTTTGGTATTGGGTAACTTTATAAGGAACCTTGGACTACAAAAGGGGAAGAAGGGTACTACTGGGCATCCTAGCGGGGCTGTTTTGAAAGCTCTTGTCCGTCTTCACAGTGGGTACGATCACAAGCCTACCCAACGCGAGATGATTCGTCTCCCTGGGAGGTATTAGGGTTTAGGGTTTAGGGTTTAGGGTTTAGGGTTTAGGGACTAATAGTATAGACTTCAAGGCAAGGGCCATACCTGTAGACGAAAAGACCTACTTTAGGGTAGAAACTTAGGTCTTTTGCGAGGTAGGCCTTGGATTCGGGTTTAGGGTGCAGTCTGGGGTCTGGGGCTTTAGGGACTGAATCGGCGAAGGGACCAGAACTTAGATAGAAGCCCGACACCTCAAAGCCATAACACGTGAAGCCGCCCTAAAGGACCCCAGAGCCCCATCCTTATAAAGCCTTGAAGGAACCCTCGAAGCAGTGCTCAAAGGAAACCCTTAATGCAACCCTAAACCCTAAGCCCTAAGCCGTAAACCCTAAACCCTAGCCCTAGAGGAACCCGTAAGCCCAATCTCATAAAGCCCTAAACCCTAAACCCTAGGCCCAATCCTAAAGAGCCCTAAAGTAACACAGGAAGCCCTAAAGGAACCCATAAGCCCAGCCTTCAGCAGTGCATTGAAGTTGATCACGTTGGGTCGAACGTGGATCCCGGGCATCTCCACATGCAGCTTCCTAGAACTTAGGGCTTTAAGGGTTTAGGTTCTTTTGTGAGGTTATCAGGTTTAGGGTTTAGGGGTTTAGGGGTTTAGGGGCTAAGGGGTTCAGGTTTAGGGGCTCAGGGGTTTAGGATGAACACTGAAATGCTGAACCCTGAAGTGGTAGACCCCAAACCCCTGAAGCCTGGGCCGGGTTCCTGAGTTTAAGTGACCCTATGAAGCAACCCTATTATCTACCATACCTTAACCTACCAAAACCTACTTTTTTGTAGGTTCTTATTATACACCCTACTATGGTTTTTATAGGGACCCTACAAAAAAGTAGGTTTTGGTGGGTTCAGGTAGATCCCCATCACGGTAGCTTACAACGAATCCTTTTGCAAGAACCCAGTAAACCAGCAAAGCGTGAGCACTAAACTCAGACGCAGCGTCGCAGCCGCCTCCCATCGCCCTGAACAGGTGCTGACCGCGGACCCGTAGGTGGCCACGTCCTCGGATTGCTTGCTTACCGTTGTTGGGAGTGTTGGGGTTAGTGTGTCGCGCTGGGGGCCCCAACCCTAAGCTCACCTACGCACCAAGGCCTAAGCTCCACAGCCACCCAAAAAGCCCTATGCAGCAGAATCCCAATGGTATCGCGTCGTTTGGCACTTTCCGAAAATACGGGACGCCAACACAGAGAGGAGAATTTAAGTAAGAACGCCCCATAAGGGGAGCCAAACCCAAAACCTGAAACCCTGCACCTTCAACCTTAAACCCTAAAACCTAAACCCGAACACTCAAACCCTGCAACACCCAGGCCTCAAGCCAAACCTCAAAACCTGAAGACCCTAAACATATACAATTGCTAAAACCTTTCAACTCCTAAACGTTTCACCCTAAACCCAAACCTTAAACCTGAAACCCCTAAACATGAAACCCTAAACCCAAACCTTGGAAGCTTAACACCCTAGACCCGAAAGCCAAACCCCCTTCATGTCTGCCAGCTGTCGGGAAGAAGTCGCGCGGCAGCCCCATGTCCCAGCAGGACAAGGGCCCTTGGCCACAGTGAAGGCCTACCTCGCCGAAAGGCTTTCTTGGGGTGGTTGGTATAAGGGCCTTCACAAGTATGTATACTATCTAAAATATCAATTGTAACATGCATTACATAAAACGTCAGTATGTCATATATCATACAAAAATGCAAAACGTGGGTGGTTTGCAAACGTGGCTACCCTTATCAGCTCTGTGTAGGCTTCTGGAGATCAAGCGGCAGAATTTTTTCTGCCAGCACGGTTTAGGGTTTAAGGTTCGAAGTGCGGTATGTCGTCTGAGTGTACAGAATTCAATCGGCCAATGCCTGAACCCAAAAGCTAAACCCAATGCCTCAAAACCTGAAATCCTCAAGCCCTCGAGCCTCAAACACGCTTCGTCCTGGACCCTGGCAAGCTACTATGGGGCTCATGGACGAAAACCTGCGTTATCTATGATAAGGGAGATGCCAGTACAATGCCCATACGGGAGTGTTGTCAACTGCAGGATTTTCCACATCCAAAGACGGCTTGAGAGTAGAGGGTGTAGGCGTAGGGCATGCTTGTGTCCGAAGCCTTCGCAAGCACCCAGCACTGCATTGAAAGTGATGGTGTTGGGCAGCGTGCCTCGGGCAATTTATCTCTCCACTGCACAAACGAAGGCTTCCACGGTTGAGATTTGCAAGGCTGAGACTTCGAACTGAAGGATTTTGGGCTCTCGTGCAGCAGGGCGGTTTGTTGCCTGACAATATGGGAGTTTCCGAAAATGGGGCACCTTACTTTGGGGTTCTTGTAATAGGGATCCTACTACTTAAGGTGCTAAATTGAAATCCCCTATTCAAGAAAACTCCCCTATGCAGGCTTGCTGGTTCCGGTTCAGACCTGATGTCTGGAACTGCTCTGAACACCACTGTCTGCTTCTTAGTAGGGAATGGGGGAATGGATCCCTAGAATAGTCCCTATACAATCCCCAACAATAGTCCCCAGAACCCATTAAATTCCCCATTCCCTACTAAGAACCAGACGGACCAAGGCCCCGAAACTGCGAACCTTGAACCGGGAAAATCCTACGCCCTAAACCCTTTGAGTTCCCACTGCAAGAACCACAGAAGGGCTTTTGTTGGGGATGTGAGGCTTCTGAAAAGGACCGGAGAAGAGTTAGGGCTCAATAAGAGCATAGGGTTCAAGGTAGAAGGCTTAGTCAGGACATTGGGCTTTAGGGCTTGAGGACTTAGGGTTTAGGCTTTCAGGGATTCATAAGTTGTGAAAGGTGGTTGAAAAAGTTTCGGTGCCTGGTGTCCAGGGCTTCGTTTTCAAGACAGACTCCTCCGATCGTGTGAAACGGTACTTCACGTGCTTTTTGAAAGCTCGCCCAAGGATTAGGGCACCGTGTAAGTAGGCTGGCAGGTTGTAAGTAGAGTCGTAAGTGCCCTTGGTGGGGTTGCCAGACCTTTGGCTCTGGTTAACCCTAAACGGCCCTAAATCCTAAACTCTGCAATTCAACAGATCGCAAGCCCAAAGCTCAAAAGTTTTCAGCAATCAAAATATTGGATCCAAGATACGAGCATCTTCCATCTTCGAGAGCAGGTGGAACACCAGCTGCCACTGACGGCCGACACCGCAAGACGCGATGGCTGCAGTGTATGCGAAGACGTTGGCCATGTCTGCTCTCGACATGACCTGAAGCACCCGAAATCTCTAGATGTCAGAGTCTTACTGACCACAAGCACCCCCACCGTCAACAGCATGATCCCGTCATCAACAACAACATATTCCAGATCATCAGCTTCTTCTTCAACGTCATCGTCTTCTTTTTCATCAACAGCTTCATCTTGGGCATCATCACCACCATCGACAGTCACCGACAAAAGCATGATCGGAGTCATCTGCAGCATCTGCATCATCTTCATTGTCAGCATCGTAATCATCATCACCATGACAATCACCCTCGCTATCATCCTCAGCAGCAGCAGTGCAGGCGAGATGCATCAAGGAGAGCCAAGGCAAACGTCCAGCAGCCACACTCCTGGCGTAAGCTTCGAGGCCCCTTCGAGTAGTGGGAATTTAAGAAACAAAGCGCCACAATATGGACCCAACGAGAAGCCCTGAACCAGACCCAACAAAGACCCTAAGTGGACGATCCTGGGTTGAAGGAACCCAGATAAGATTGTAGAAACCGTACGCTCAAACCCTCGGCCTATCCCAGCACCCTCCCGCCTAAACACCAAAATCCTCTCTGACCTAAACCCCAATAATTACAAACGATGCCTCACCACAGGACCCACACGTGCTTTCCTCCAACTCCAAATATACATCCCGAAAATGAAAAAGCCCGTCATCCGTCCGAAACTTCCGTATACTGCTGAACCCTAGACCTTTGAACGCCTCAATCCTAAAGCCCACACCCCCGAAACCCTAAACATAAAAACCCAAAACCGTTAAATCCTAAAGCCTAAACCCCCAAACGCCACAAACACCTAAACCCCACACCCCTAAATTCTCAACTCTAAACGCCTACAACCCTAAACCCCTGAACCCTTAGCCCCTAAATCTCTAAACCGTAAAGCCTAAACTCCTAACACCCTAAACCCCAAATCCTTAAAACCTAAAGGCTAAACGCCTGAAGCACTGAGGCCCCCAAATCCTGATGCCCTGAATCCGAAAGCCTAAACCCTCGCGGCCTTCAGATTCCACTCAGATTGGCGGCTAAACCCCATAACCCTACACCTTGAACCCTAGAACGTTTTCCCCCCTTTTCCAATGCCCCAACCCCCAAACCCTACATCGCAAAGCTTAAACCCTAAACCCAAAATCTTAACCCGAAAAAGAACAGAAGTACAAGAACCCACTAAACCCTCGCACCTCGCAGGCTTGGAGGCCAGCAACGAAGCTGAAGCTGTCGGGGGCCAAGGCGGCTGTGGGCATCTCCGACCTATGCGGTTTAGGGCCTTGGGCTTACGGGATTATGTTGGTTTTGGGGGGGTTAGGATTTACCTAGGATTCAGAGTTCAAGACCTTAGGATTTAAGGTGTAGGATCGGATGGGGCTGGACTCTGCATGAACCCTCCTCGCGTCCTAGCCTAACCTAGAGCCTGCAACCGCAAGACCCAAATCCTAAACCTTGAAGTAGAAGACGCCAAACCTAGGGTTTAGGCTCAAGGGGTTTAGGCTAGGCACATCGTCCGGTGCAGCACATGCATGGACCCCTGGCGAAAGAAATGTTAATGCTTAGGCTTTAAAAGAAGCCCGGCTTCAAATAGTTCAAGCGAAGAGCAAAAGCTCCAGCGCTCTGTGCCACTGGGCGGCCCTAGCGCAAGCCCCAATGGTGGCGTTGTAACCTGGGAGGCCCAGAAAGCCCAATACTCCTCAATGAAGGAATCTGCATTCAAATCTTATAGGTGGCTCCGTAAGTATGATCTAAAGTAGATTCCTCAATTAAAGGGTATTGGGCTCTCCGAGGACACGGTCCTGACGCTTGGGCTTCAGGTTTCAATCCACTGAGTCTGGGGTTGATGGGGTTCTTGTGAAGGGATTTAAATAAAGTTACCATAATAAGGAAACCATATAACTTACTACAGAAATCCATGAACATGAACCCAGTATAGGGGTGACTGTCCAATCTTTCGGGCTTAGGGCTGAGGTTTGATGGTTGCGGGCCTTAGAGCCCAGGGGCCTTCGGGTTTTTAAGGTTTAGGGTTTAGGGTGTATAAGGGTTTGGGGTTTAGGGTGTAGGGTTTAGGGTGTACAAGGGTTTAGGGTTTAGGGCGTAGGGCTGTTTCTCATTAAGGTTTGGACAATGTAAGCGCGCATACGAGGAAGTTCGGGATGTGGGAGTTTCCGACAATAAGAGACCCTAATATAGTACCCTAAATTGCCCTAAATGGTAGGATCCTTGTTCTAAGGACGCCAAAATACGGTAGCCCTTTGTTTTCGGAAACTCTAAACCCTAAACCCTTTATAGAACCCTCATAGATCCCGTGAAGGAACCCTTGTAGATCCCTTTAAAGGACCCGTAATTTTCGGAAACTCCCATTTGGAGTTTGCCGCATTGGGGTCATTAAAAGCTTTGGGGTTCTGGAGCTTTGGCTTAGGGTCGCTTCCAAAAATTAGGGGTACCTTACTTTGGGGTCCTGATAATGACGATCCTACTATGTAGGGTACTATATTAGGGTCCCCTTTTGTCGGAAACTCCCACATGGGCCCTGACTTCCTGGTCTTATGATTTCGAACCCCGTGAACCCTAAACCCTATGCCCTAAACCCTCCACCCTAACCTCTAAACCCTGAACCCCAACTCCTAAACCCTGATCCTTAAGCCTGGGGTTTGGGGGGTTCATTAAAGCAGTCTGTAGGCCTCCTTTAAAGGGGTTCTTTTAGGGTTCTATACGGATCCTTTTAACTCTAATTAGGGTTTAGGGCTTGGGGTTTAGGGGTTAGGAAAACCCCATACAGTTGGAAACCGGATCAATTTGAAGATTCAATCACTGTCAAACACGCCTGTAACCGGATCTCACATAACATCCGCAACTGCACATCAAACCTCAAACTCCAAACCCTAAACCCTAAACCCTAAACCCTAAAGCCTAAGCCCCTAACCGAAGCCGGAGGAACTGATCACATCTGGCGTGGCCGCATGCTTGGCCTGGGCTGTCCGGTGATCTGAAGGTCTCAGGTCGACTTCTAGGGTTTAGGGGTTTAGGGGTTTAGGGTTTCGGTTTAGGGTTGAGGGGTTCAGGGTTTAGGGGGTTAGGGTTTAGGGTTTAGGGTTTAGGGTTTAGGCTCTGATGGTTTAAAGTTCAGGGTCGCGGGAATGGGCTGCGGGGTAAGAGCCTTGTGCGTCACGCGTGTTCTTTGAGATTGGGTCTGTCGGGCGCTTGTAGAAGCCTTTTAGGGAATACGAGGACCGAGATACTATTACCAGCGACTCTCCTAGCATTGGGGCCTTGGGGTTTGGGAGGTTCATGGCTACTGTGCGTCAGGGCTTTAGGACTCGGTACATCCGTGGACCCCAAGCCTCAATAAACAAACACACCTCAGTCCTTCATCCTGAAGCGCTACTTCCCAAAAACCTGAAATCCTAAGAGCCCCAAAACCCTAAACATTGAACTCGAAGCAAACTGTAAGGCCCGAAGCAACTCTGGCCCCCTCAAGCAGTTTCGCAATCGCTGCAGCTTCGACAACTGGGTTTCCGGATGGGTGCAGAATATAAAGGTCTTAAACCCTAGACTAAACCTAAACACTAAACTATAACTATAAACACCACAGGCCCTAGAAACCTAAACCCTGAACCCCTTCACCCCAAACGCCAAGTGGGCATGGAGCCTTGTGGATCTGATAGGAAGCGTGAAAATCTCACCTAAAATGACTAAACTAGTGCTTGGAGGTACATCAGTCCACAGTGTCAGATAATAGTAATAATGGTATTTATAATAATAATGGTAATAGTAATAATGTAACACTTATAATAATACAACAGGTAATAATAACAGTAACCCACATTCTCTTGTCCTTCTGACTTACTCCTTACAAAACCTTTACCGTAAACAAAACCCTTACAAACGCCCGTGCCCGAAAAACCCGTCATATCTGTAGTATTTGAGAAATATACCCTCGCATTACTATACGGATATATTGTGTCAAGCTGCCATGTCCGACAGCAGCCCAATGGTTGCGGCCCACTGCTCGCCCTTTGCGAAGGCGCTGAGCAGCGCATTCCTAGGGTACGGCGCTCGGGTTGAGGGATCCAGAAGGGATCCATAAGGATTCTACAAGGATTCTATAAGGGTTACGGAATACATGGGTGGTTGTCAAAATTATGGTTATGGTCCCGTTTTGGGTCCCTATGATAATACGGCACCTAATGTTTAGGGTGCCCAATTCGGGACCACAATTTTGACAACCACCCAAATATGGATTTAGGAGGTGTAGGACTGATGGTCCCTTGAAGGGATCAAGAAGGGATCCAGAAGGCTTCTACAAGGATTCTATAAGGGCTACGGTTAAGTAGCTTTGAGAATAAATATAGATTTAGGGGCTGTAGGATTGATGGTCCGAAAGTTTGTGGTGAAGGCTGAGGGCTTGCACAGCCCAGTCGCTTCGTGATCAGATTCCCTCCGAGGCCGACCTGACGGGAGAGAGATTTAGGGTTTAGGGTTTGGGGTTTAGTGTTTAGGGTTGAGGGTTTAGGGTTTAGGGTTTGGGTTTGGGGTTTAGGGATTGAGGTTTAGGGATTAAGGTTTTGGGTTTAGGGATAAGGGTTTAAGGATAAGGGTTTAGGGTTTAGGGTTTTGCTTACTGGTTGAGTTCATAAGCCCCAAGAAGTGTACACTTTTCGTTTTATAGTGGGTCATATTATCCCAAAAAGTGTAAAGTGTATCCACTCAGCTACTAAGTTTAGGGTTTAGGGATTCACTCAAAGCGTTGGATTCGGAATGAGTTTCGTGCTTAAGGTTTCAAGGTCAAGGCTTCCGCGACGTTTTGATCCCAACGATGGTACTGAAGACTACCACGAAAGCAAGACTGGAAGCACAAAACAAAACCACACACGAGTCCCTACAAACATCCTGATCACCACGCAGGTCCCCACAATCGTCACATCACCATCACCATCATTAATCGTCGTCGGCAAAGTACCCTAAACCCTAAAACCCTACACCCTACAACCCTACATGTATACACCCTAAATCCTAGAGCCCCACCTTCCGCAAGTCCGAGAAGATCAGCAGTGCCAGCTGCCATTGCCCTCCCTTCTCGCACGCGCTGATCGCAGCGTTGAAGGTGATGATGTCCGGTCCTGGCGACCTTGAGGAGTTCTTTGGTTGCCGAAACGTTAAACCGTAAGCCCTGAACCCTGAACCTTATCCCCTGAACCCTAAACCCTAAACCCTGTCCCTTTCTTTTTCCCTTGAGCCCCAAGCACTAGATCCCCAAAGAGCACTGCCTTGACAACAAAGTTACGATGAAGTCGACACCGACACCGCACACCGCCCACAGCCCGACCCGGACAAACTACACGATTTAGGGCTGAGGGATAGGGTTGAAGCAGAATCGTCCAGAGCAACAACAAAGCGGGGGCCTCAACAGTGAACCCTAAACCCGAAGCCCTACGCCCCCTAAACCCTTGTTAAATAAAGCCAAACAGGGCCAAAAGGTCCAAAGCCCAACCCACATACTTGCTAGGTCCAGCGGCTGGGATAGCAGCACCAGAGCATCTCCCCAATTCCCCCCCTCCTCACATGCACTGATGGCGGCATTGAAGCTGATCCTGGGTGTGGGGATTATAACTATATCTCCAGGGTTTTGGGTTCGAGGTTTAGGATTCCGGATTTGTGGAACTAGTTAGTTGGAGGCTTACATAGTAAGTAGGTGATAAGAAAAAGTAGGTGAGATAGCCCCAGTTAGAATACGTAAGTTGCTTGAAATGCCTACTCAATAAGTACCCTGATCACTTGGGCTTGCGGACGTAATTACCGGAGCCTGGCACGATTCTAGGTCCTACACGCGACAGCACACCAAAACAGAACCCCCCAAAAAAAAGATCCCCAAAACCCTGAACCTAAGCCGGAAACTCCAAACCCCTCCGCAAACCCCAAATCCATGAACTAGGCACCCTGAAACCTAAACCCTAAACCCTGAAACGCGGGGCCCTAGACTTACCTTTGGTTAGTAGAGATTGGAAGAATGGTTGTTCTAGCAATTATAATTGTACCCCATTCCTCCATTCCCTACTCACCAAAGGTAAGTAATAGGATTATTAAGCCCTCTAAGCTGTAGTACCCTTATAGATCCCTTATAGTAACCCTTAAAGACCCCTTTATAAGGCCCCCTCCATTCCCTACTAACCAAAGGTAAGGAGAACCCGAAGCCCTGAAACCCCGAATCTTAAGAACCCCAAGAACCCCGAAGATGAGCATGCTGTAGGTTCAGGGTTTGGGGTTTAGGGTTTAAGGTTTAGGTTTAGGATTTTGGGGTTCCTTTAAGAGTTCCTTTAAGGGTCCCTTTAAGGGTACGATAGGGGTTTAGGGTTCCTTTAATTCTTTAAGTTCAGAATTTGGGGGTTTAGGGTTTACGGTTGAGGGTTTAGGGTTCAGGGTTTAGGGTTTAGGGGTTCTGTAAGAGTTCCTTCAATTCAAGGGTCCTACAGGGTACTATAGGGGTCCTTTAAGGGCTGAGGCTTCAAGGGTTCCCTTCAAGGGCTTGGGGTTTAAGGTTTAGGGCCTTGGGCGGAGGCTTTGGGGTTTAGGGTTTAGGGTTTAGGGTTTAGGGGTTTAGGGTTCGGGGCTCCGGCCTTAAGCCTCTGGGCTTAGGGTTTGGGGAAAGCTTAGTGCTTGAGGTTTTGGGCTTTGGGTTCGGGTTTCCAGCTTAAGGTTCATGGGCTTTTACCCTAAACCCTAAACCCTGACTAAACCCTAAACCCTAAGCCCTAAACCCTAAGCCGGAGGTCATAAACCTTAAGAAAACAACGCCAGACCCTGCGACTCCCCCAACCCCCAAGACCCTAGACGCGAAACTTCCAACCCCAAGCCCTAGCCCCAAATCCGAAGCCTTACATCCGAAATGAAGCCCTATATTATTTTGGGGGCTCCTGATTAAAAAGTATAGTGTAAGGGGCCCCAAAACCCTATTCTAATTATTAAGGCCCCTATATTAGGGGTCCCTTCAAAAAGGAGTAGCCCTAAACTCTAAACCCCAAACCCTAAACCCTAAACTTGAAAAGACGAGGATCAAGTTCGGAGAAATCCCAGCTGCTGGCATGGCATGGAAGAGGTAGAGGGCGACTTGCCACTGCTGCCCCTGGGTTCGAGGTTTCAGGGTGGGTTTAGGGTTTAGGGTTTGAGGGTTTGAGGGTTTAGGGCTACTCCTTTTTTGAAGAGACCCCTAATATAGGGGCCTTAATAAGTAGATTAGGGTTTTGGGGCCCCTTATACTATACTTTTAATCAGGAGCCCCCAAAATAATATAGGTAATTATTTTAGCCCCTATAGTGGGTTTTGGAGGTTTGAGGTTTCAGAGTTACGGCATAAGGCTTGAGGTTTAGGGCTTCAGGGCTTTAGGGCTTCAGGGCTTCAGGGCTCAGGGTTTAGGGTTTAGGGGCGGCTGGGTTTGAACATCTTAGCTTGCGAGCTTGCGGTTCCCAGACCTGAGGGTTCCGGTCAAAGGCCAAGGCAAGGGCTTAGGGACCTTTCGGGGATCTGATAGTCGACTTTATTTTGACCCACCAGCTACCAGAGCTGCAAACCTACTATAGGAGACTGAATAATTAGACTAGGGTTTGGGGGCCCAACATACTATAATGACAATAAGGGACCCCTAGTTTGGCCCTTATATTACCTGCTACATATAAGGGTTTAAGCGAAAGCAGTATGTACCTGGCAAGTAAGGTTACAATCGTCCTTTCAGCTACTTAAAGCACCTCGTAACTTTACCAGCTCCTTCAATGAGTAGGGGTTTTGGGCTTGTGTCTCGAATGCAAAGGTTTCGCGCTAAGGGCCGAGGGATGCTATTCAAGCTCTTCTTTAGGCTTTCTGGGCCTTGCCACAGGCGCTGATGGCGGCAGTATAGCTGAAGACGTTGGGAGGCGCTCTTGCCAGGAGCTCGAGTGCAAAACTCCAGTACCCATCCCCTTCGCAAGCGGCGATGGCAGCGCAGAAGCTGAAACCGTCCGCAAGACCCTCGGGCATCTCGAGAAAGATCTGCAGAGCCTTCTGCCATTCGCCGGCCTTGGCACAGGCCCTGATTGCTACATTGTAGCTCATGGTCTGCGGGAGAATCCGGCTTGAGGGCATCTCTGACAGCAGCCACAGGGTCGGTTCCCACTGCCCACCCTTGTCGCAAGCACTGAGCACCGTATCATAGATCAAAGCATCGGGCGACGGCGCTTGCGACAGCAAGTGAACAGCCAGAGCCCAGAGCCCAACTCGCTCACAGGCACCGATGGTTGCGCTGTAGGTCACGAGGTTGGGAGAAACGCTTGCAGATGGCAGGAGCCCAAAGAGAGCCAGCGCCTGCTCCCAGTAAAAGCAGCGGGCACAAGCACCGATGGCTGAGCTGAAGCTGAACACGTTTGGCAGAACTCCCACCTGAGGCAGCGAGCATGTCACGAAGCGTCCGAGGAGTTGCCATGTTTAAGGGTTGGGGTTTAGGGTTTAGGGTTTACTGGGGCAAGTGCAAGTGTCAAAAACCCTAGACCTTCGCAACCTTCAAAAATCTACACCCTAAGGCTTATAAAACCCCAGAACCCAAAACAGTGCGCTCTACAGCATACCCCAAAAAGAGGCCCCACCAGCGCCATCACCGCCAGCAGCTGGAGCGCCACAGTCCATTCTCCTTTCCTCTCGCAGGCACTCAAGGCGGTGCTGTAGCTGACAACATCGGGCAGGATGGCCGCCTAGGGGGCATCTTCATGGCTTCTTGGGTTTAGCGGGTTTAGGGTTTAAGGTTTGTTTGGGTTTAGAGTTTTGGGGAGACTTCTTACAGTTAAGCGGCTGGATTTCTTGGGTTGTTGTGCGGGGTTTCGTGGGGTTAGGGTTTAGGATTGAGGACTTAGCTCGTCCCAGAATGTATAGGCTGCATTGGGGTTCTATCTAGGCGGTTCGGTTCGTCTTAAGGGAAGAAGAGCGAGTTTCGGGCTCAAAGCTCAAGGCATCTCACTGAGGGTTTAGGAATTCTGGCTGCAAGTCCGGGTTTCAGAGTGGAAGAAGCCGGATTCTCTGGACGCTTTTCAGTAATTCTTGCATCGGATCTGGATCCGAACCCAGACCCCCGGAAGGATAGAAAGTAGATCCGCTAATTTGGGGCCCTATACTACTAAGGGTACTTTACAGAAACCCCCATTAAGGGATCTACTTTTTGGGGTCTGGGAAGTACAGCAAGGCTCTCCGTTCATCTACATGCCCAAGTCGAGAACAGCGAGCAAGCAGACCCTGCAGTATCCTGCACTTTGCCCTCATCGGGCCAGGGTTTAGGGTTTAGGGTTTGGGGTTTGGGGTTTGGGGTTTAGGGTTTGGGGTTTGGGGTTTGGGGTTTAGGATTTAGGGTTTGGGGTTTAGGGTTTAGGGGGTTAAGGTTAAGGGTTTCCATCGTGCAACTGCCAAAGCTTGCTGGTAAACTCCAATTCCATGAACCCCACGACCCCAAGACCTTAAACTTACCTCTGGTTAGTAGGAATGGAAGGATGGTCGTAATAGTAGTTATAATTGTACCCCATTCCTCCATTCCCTACTAGCCGAAGGTGAGTAAACCCCCAAGCCCTGAACCCTCAACCCCAACAGGCGAAATCCCAAAGCCTTAAACACCTTAAGCCCGAACCCACAAAACCCTACCCAAGGTGCCCCAACGTCGTAAGCAGTGTATACCAACCCTATGAGACCCCGCTGTTTGCTCAGTGAACCCCTTCACCAGGTACTTCACCGCGCGACCCAACATGCGCCTTGGACATCTCAAAGACTCCAAAACCCGAGACACACTTAATGCGTAAGTTCCGAAACCCCAAGTGTCGGCCCTTGCCCATCTCAAAGACGAAGCCACAATGCGATCTTGCTATTCATCAAACCGGGCCAAAGGTTTTTGAGGGTGCTGTAGGATTATACTCGAAAGCTTTATGCTGTTGTAAGTCTAGAGGCTTACTAAGTTTACGAAAACTTGGCCTGACAACCCGCCCTGCAAACTTGTCTCGCCTCGGACATCCCAAAGACGACACCCAGAGCCGCTTGCCACTGACTTGCCAGCGCACACGCGCTCACGGCGGCATTGAAGCCTTGCGCTTGGGGTTCAAGGTTCAGGGTGTAGGACGGTTTAGGGGTTCAGGGTTTAAGGGTTCAGGGTTTAGGGGTTTAGGGTTTAGGGTGTAGGGTTTAGGATGTCTCTTGAAAGGGTTCAGGGTTTCGGAGGAGTTTAGGCGTGCCCTAAGAAGAAAAAGAGATCGCTCTTTCAAAAAAGCATGGGTCTTGTGATTGCGTTGCACATCCTTAAAACCCCTAAACCCTGCACCCTGAACCCGAAATGATAAACCGCAGCTTTGTAGATGCGTTGAAGATCTCTACAGCAACTCTAGTCTCAACCCCGCACCCTGAAACTCAAATGCGAAACACCCTAAATCCTGAACGCTCAACCTGATAAACCCTACAACCCGAACCCTCAAGACAAGGCACTGATCTGGTTCAGGACGGCCCGGGCCTGGCTGAGGAATCTCTGTAAATCACGAGATCCCTTCGGCATAGAGCTCTATTTATGGATTTAGGGCTTATAGGGTAGAGCTCTGTTTATCGCGATCTCTGAAAATCAAAAGATCCCTTGTGGGTTTTGGGCTTAGGGCTTAGCTAGGGTCCCTAGCTCACGGGGGGTCCAAACACAATTCAGCCCTGTTTTCGGCCTGAACGAAATGCATGAGCTTTGCTTCTCATTTATAGTTCACTTCATATAACACATTATATCACATTCTACTAGTACTATATGATAGTATACTGAATCACATCTATAAAGTGTGTGTATATATACATGTACAACCGGAACCCCTAGTGAAAAGCCTTGGCACGGCCATATTACATACTCTATTATCTTCAATAAATTAAACCCCAAACCCAAGACCGTATTGAAAAGCACTGGTTAGAAGGGGCCCCCACCCTGTAATAGTGGTATAAGAGGAATATAGTAGGGCCCGAATATAATCCTTATAGTCACTATTACAGGGTGGGGGCAGCTTCTAAAGCATTGGTTCGGCCTCAGGCATGCTTGCTAGCAGGCCCAGGGCTCTCGGCCATGCCTTGGCCCTGCCGGCTGCCTGGATGGCAGCGGTCGCGCGCCGCTCCGCCATGGACCCTACTCTAAGGCCCCTTAGGGTTTAGGGTAGGATGCAGGGTTTAGGGTTTAGGGCCCTGAACTAATCAGGATAGGTTTTGAAAGAACGGTGTTGGTACCTATTTTGATTTCTACATCGAGCCTTGAACCCTTCGGTGTTCCGGGTTTAGGGCTTTCGGCTTGGGGACTTAGACCTGTAATCCCTGAACCCTTGTACAACCCCTGTGCTAGTAAGTAGGACCCAGAATCAATCGCCACAATCGAAACCCCCAGAGCCCACAAGCCTTAAACCCTCAACCACAAACCCCAAACCCAAAGCCTCGCCCCCCTAAACAGCGCCCTTCCAGGAACTCTCAAAAAAGCCCTGAGCCCTAAACCCTGAATCAATTGTGTTCTCCTGCTTACCCACTGGGTCAACCCAGAGAGGAAAGCCAGAGCCAACGGCTACGGCACGAAAACCCTGAACCAGAAACCCCTAAACCCCAAACCTTTGAACAGTAAACATGCTACCTCTAAACCCTAAACCCTGAACATGGAAACCCTACACATTAAACCTCTAAACCCTAAACCCTAGACATGGAAACCCTAAACATTAAACCTCTAAACCCTAAACCTTAGACATGGAAACCCTACACATTAAACCTCTAAACCCTAAACCCTAGACATGGAAACCCTACACATTAAACCTCTAAACCCTAAACCCTAGACATGGAAACCCTAAACATTAAACCTCTAAACCCTAAACCCTAATCATGGAAACCCTACACATTAAACCTCTAAACCCTAAACCCTAAACATGGAAACCCTAAACATTAAACCTCTAAACCCTAAACCCTAAACATGGAAACCCTACACATTAAACCTCTAAACCCTAAACCTTAGACATGGAAACCCTACACATTCAACCTCTAAACCCTAAACCCTAGACATGGAAACCCTACACATTAAACCTCTAAACCCTAAACCCTAGACATGGAAACCCTAAACATTAAACCTCTAAACCCTAAATCCTGGACATGGAAACCCTACACATTAAACCTCTAAACCCTAAACCCTAAACATGGAAACCCTACACATTAAACCTCTAAACCCTACACCCTAGACATGGAAACCCTAAACATTAAACCTCTAAACCCTAAACCCTAGACATGGAAACCCTACACATTTAACCTCTAAACCCTGAACCCTAAACATGGAAACCCTACACATTAAACCTCTAAACCCTAAACCCTAGACATGGAAACCCTCAACATTAAACCTCTAAACCCTAAACCCTAGACATGGAAACCCTACACATTAAACCTCTAAACCCTAAACCCTAAACATGGAAACCCTAAACATTAAACCTCTAAACCCTAAACCCTAAACATGGAAACCCTACACATTAAACCTCTAAACCCTAAACCTTAGACATGGAAACCCTACATATTCAACCTCTAAACCCTAAACCCTAGACATGGAAACCCTACACATTAAACCTCTAAACCCTAAACCCTAGACATGGAAACCCTAAACATTAAACCTCTAAACCCTAAATCCTGGACATGGAAACCCTACACATTAAACCTCTAAACCCTAAACCCTAAACATGGAAACCCTACACATTAAACCTCTAAACCCTACACCCTAGACATGGAAACCCTAAACATTAAACCTCTAAACCCTAAACCCTAGACATGGAAACCCTACACATTTAACCTCTAAACCCTAAACCCTAAACATGGAAACCCTACACATTAAACCTCTAAACCCTAAACCCTAGACATGGAAACCCTCAACATTAAACCTCTAAACCCTGAACCCTAGACATGGAAACCCTACACATTAAACCTCTAAACCCTAAACCCTAAACATGGAAACCCTACACATTAAACCTCTAAACCCTAAACCCTAGACATGGAAACCCTAAACATTAAACCTTTAAACCCTAAACCCTAGGCATGGAAACCCTAAACATTGAACCTCTAAACCCTAAACCCTAATCATGGAAACCCTACACATTAAACCTCTAAACCATAAACCCTAGACATGGAAACCCTACACATTAAACCTCTAAACCCTAAACCCTAGACATGGAAACCCTAAACATTGAACCTCTAAACCCTAAACATGGAAACATTAAACATTAAACCTCTAAACCCTAAACCCTAAACATGGAAACCCTACACATTAAACCTCCAAACCCTAAACCCTAGACACGGAAACCCTAAACATTGAACCTCTAAACCCTAAACCCTAAACATGGAAACCCTAAACATTAAACCTCTAAGCCCTGAACCTGGAAACCCTACACATTAAACCTCTAAACCCTAAACCCTAGACATGGAAACCCTAAACATTAAACCTCTAAACCCTAAACCCTAGACATGGAAACCCTAAACATTAAACCTCTAAACCCTAAACCCTAAACATGAAAACCCTAAACATTAAACCTCTAAACCCTAAACCAGCAGCGGCGGTGGACTCTTCAGGCCAGCCTAAACGGGTTCCTTCAAGGGTTCTACAAGGCTTAGAGTTCGGACTAGAGTCTCGGGTTTAGGGGCTTCGAGGTTTGGGCTTAGGGTCTAGGGTTTTGGGGTGTAGGGCTTAGGGCTTCACAGGCTTCGGAAAACTCCTTTTTGCAACGGCCAGACTTTGATGGTCGTGTCGTCGGACCCCGTCACGAGCTGATCCTCAAAGGCAGCCAGGCAAGTGACCGAGTCGCTGTGGCCTGCGCTTGCACGTGGGGCCTGTAGTAGAGTCATAGCACAAACTTTCAACAGCGTTGATGAGTTTCTAAGGACTGAAGCAACAATAATCAGGCTTAAGGGATCTGAGGGGGTCAAAGGCTGCAGGGTGCTGCTTAAGGAACTTCATCTATGTTACCACAGCAGGGATCCACCGCATGTAATAAACATAGGCTTTCCGTCCCTAAGAAAAACTTGAGAAACCCTGTAGCCACCCTCAACGGCCGCAGCCTTCGAAGATGGCGAGGCAATGCCCCGCTGCCACGTCCCAGAGCCGGGCAGTTCGGTCGGAGGAGCCGCTGACCACCGTGGAAGCGGTCCTACAAAGGGTTTTTGGGGTTTAGGAATCTATCGGGTTTTGTGTGCTTCAAGGGCTTATAGGGTTTAGGGTTGGTCTATAGGGTTTAGAGTTTACAAGGTGCAGAGGGTTTATAGGGCTAAAAATTTAGAGGCGCTCGAAGCGCTTCGGCCGTAGATGAGTTTAGGGTTTGGGGTTGAGAGCGCTTTTCGGGCTATTGGGCGTTTTGAGGGTTTGGGGTCCAGGTTTTTGGAGGTTGAGGGTGAAAGGTCTTTCAACGACGGCTCTTCCAAGGCTCCCTGAAGGCTTCTATAAGGGATTCGTTCGGGGTACTGTAAGGACTTCCTAACAGGTTTGTTACAAGGTTTACTTACAGGGTTTACCGTGTAGGCCGCAGGGATAAGGATTGTCGGGGCTTATAGCCTCTTTTCTTATGGCCCCAAGCAAAGCCGAAAAGCCGAAACTGCACCGGGCGGCAAGCAAGCAACGGCTCGAACGTAGGAGCGATGTCCTGTCCTGAGCAACTGGGTTTAGGGGTTTATAAGGCTTTCGGGTTTAGGAGATAGGGTTTTCGGATTCGTGTGAGGTTGGGTGATGCTTTTGTGAGAACTGATAGAGCTTTGCAATCGCTTCATGCTTTGGGGTCCTCACACCGTCATTATCTTGGGATTTCGGACTTCGGCGGGGAAGGCACAACACTGGCTAATACAGGGACATCAGCAAGTAGAATTTAAGGGTGCTACGAAGGGTTACGATAATTGTATGGGTAATCCTTCAGGCTCCGCTATGACTTGGACCGATCCGACTACAGGGTGGCAGACCCTGTTAAAGCCGTCACTAGAACTCCCAAAAGCCTGGGACTGAG